CGTTTTGTTCCTCCCCTCTATCATTTACAAACCAGACGGAGAAAGAGATGCTGCGGCGCCGCTGATAATTGATCGCTGGCCGCGTGGCCGCGTGGCCGCGTCCTGGACGGGGCGGGGCGGGGCGGGGCGGGGCGGGGCGGGGCGTGGATCCGCGCATAGCGCAGCCGACGCAGCCGACGCAGCGCCTCGGGGGCCGCCACTGTAATTAACCATGTAAAGCAACCGGTCGCAAACAGCGAGGGGGTGCTCGAATTTTAAAGTAGTCAAATAATTGAATGTGTAGTGGTGTCTTTTTCGGCGAACGCCGGCCTTGCCACCCCCTTTGAGTCCGGTCAGGGGGCTGGGGGAGGCGCCCCTCCCGGCTCGGCGCACGCGCCCATGAATACGAACGCGGAAAATAGAATTGACTCGCATCCCGTCGCAGTCTTGAATGCGGCCGGATGTCCGGGCCGCGCCGGGCACGGGCCAACACGTGGCCTTACATACCGGCGGAACTTTTTTATTTGCCTCTTTTTCCTCTTTCAGATTTTCAGTCGGGAGAAAGTTGGGGTTATCATCATGGGTCCAGCCCGTGTGCGGGCGTGGTGGGCCGTGGAGGGTCACGGACTCGACACGGACACACACACACACACGCACACTCACGCGCGCACTCGGCCAACGGAAAGAACGAACAAACCGGCCGACCCGGCCAAAAGCTGTGGCCCGCAAATCCAAGAGTTCCTCAACATATTTTTTTTTCTGCCTCGCGCTGGGAATTCAGGAATGTGAATGTGACGTCACGTCCGTTTAAACGTGACTCGAGTCACGTTCGTTTTAATTTTCTGTCACATTCAAAGTGAATCTTCCTCATACGAAAGTGAGCTCAGCGGATCGTGGAGGTCGCACGCCTGGACTCCCAGTGTACCTTCTGTGGGACACCATCAGGGACACTCTATCGGGCCGAAATTTGACGTGGCAACCCTTGGAGGGCCTCACTGCAGAGGTCACGGTCCATGCTGGCAATGAGCACGCTCCGCGACCTTGTCCGCCAGACACCTTGTCTGTCTCGGCCTGGACAGTCGCACCACAACTAGTTTATTGACAATTTCAAGCGTATTGGAGTCCTTGGCACTCGGTAGGAATGTCTTTCGCAGGCAGCAGCCCTCACCAATAACAAGTACTTCCCCCTCCCCCTCGCTAATGGAGCACCCTCTGCCTTTCTCTGCGGGCGTGCGGTTCAGCGCCGGGGCGCAGGCGGAGCCCGAAATTCGACCCTGTCTCTCTCGCTCCCAAGGGGCAAGGCGGGGTGGGACGGAGAACGGCCACAAAAGCGTTCGGACGCAGCCGTCGCGGCGCGCTGGATCATCCTCTGGCATTCACCGAAACCAAAGCCGCGTGCCACGCCGAGTGTTGTTATTTATTTGCTGGGACATTCCGAGGCGAGATTAGGGCTCGCGAAGGGGACGACTAGACGCGACAGCCTGGAGAGGCGGTCCAGAGAGACGGTCCAGAGAGACGGTCTAGAGAGCCTTCCTCCTAGAGAGTGGGGAGCGTTCTAATGGGATTGGGCCCGTGAAGTCGGTCAGTGTAACCACCAAAGCAGGCCTCGCCCCTACATCACACTGGCTAATGGGACTCACACACACGCACACAGAGACACGTCCACCCACAACGCAACGCTCGCGTGTCGCTTGGCGATGTGACAGTTTATCCGGGTTACGATCGTGGCCCCGGGAAGGACAGGCCGGGGCACGCGGCCGATGACCCAGCCTGCCCTGCTTGCCCTTTGGCCTGAAGCTAATGCAGCCCATTTTATGCCCGTTCCAATGCACTGAAGAACAAATGTCAGTGCATTAGTTAGTTGGTTGGTCGCGTTGACGCGCCCGAGTGCGCCATCTGCTGGACAAAAATTCGCAATCCCAGATCCTTCCACGCGGGAGGTTGAGTTAACAATGTTGGATGAGGGGAGGACAAGGTGGATTAAACCACCCAACTACCCAATTTCCTCCCGATTTTTCGCAGTGTGGCGTGCTTTCTGCACAGCTTGGCCTTGACTTTGGGGCGCGGCACCGTGCACTCGGGCGAGCAGGCTACCCCCTCGTTACCCACGTACTGCAGGAGGTTGGCCAACGCGTCGGGGATCATACCGGGCAGGACGGCGGCACGGCGGGACACTCCATCCAGGACTTTCTCCTGCATTAAACGCGTAGTCCTCCCCGCTAGTGGAGGCCGTCCTCCCGTCTGGGTCGTCCGGACCGGACCCTGCTCCGCGCCAGTCCGCGCGCCAGCCCGCGCGCCACCAGGCTCACTCGCTCCGTCTCCCTCGCACCCCGGCGGCACGGCCCGGCAGAGCGAGAGAGACAGAGCGTGCCGGAGGAGTCTAGCCGCACTGGAATCCACCGTGATGGGCCAGCACGGCCAGCATGGCCAGCATCCGCGGCTTTAGAGCTGCTGCCGTGCAGTCCGTCTCTCTCGCACTCCCACGCCTGCCGTGCAGTCCGTCCCTCTCTCTCGCACACCCCCGCCACGCTTTCCCCGCCGCTCCTACCCTTTCCAGTCCTCCAAACAAGCTCTCGGTTTTCGAGGATGAACTCCGAAATCACTAAAAGATTTACACGACAGGTGGGTTGTTGTCGAGTCTCGGTTACGAGTCCGTAAATAAAAGCCCTCTTTTGCAAGATTGTTGCAGGCGGCCTCAGAGTGCTTGCTGGCAACGCGACCCCCGCGGACCGTTCGGCGGCAATGTCTCTTCTGGTGCCTCAAAAGTGGCGGGGAATGCGCTCTCCACCTTCACGAGCAGAGCGATACACTTTTTGCTTTTCTCGGCATGAAGAGGAAAAACACCACACACAGCCCATTTTCCAGCAATGGCGATGACACTGGAAGAGAACGGAACGGATGGCAAAATTCTCGTCTTCCTCCACTCCACCCACCCCCTGGCGACATAGCGTCCGGCTGAACTGACTCAACTCCACGCATCTTGGTCGTCGTCGCTCTGTCTCGCTCGCACGCACAGTGTAGGAGCGAGAGAGACGGGCCTTTTGGCTGCTGCATCGCCCCGACGTGAATTACTCCCCGATTGTTATGACGGCTTGTTTGCTCCGGACTTTCACCCGATTCCCGCAAGAGCATACTCTTTGCCCGCCGCCCTCGCTCTGGCGAAAAGACCTCGTTAATCCGGCAAAAGAAGCACTTTCATTTAAAAAGTAAACAATCAGAAACAAAACAAGGATACAATAAGCGTATGAACTTTGTACGCTTGACATCAAATCCTGGCCCGCCGAGCAGCGCTTTGAGACGCTCTGTCTCTCTCGCACCCCTGCGACACGCTCCATGAGAGTGAGAGAGACAGAGCGTGGGCAGTGTGAGCCTGCTGGGACGGCTGCTCCTGACCTGCCCCGTCGCGTCATACTCAGCCAATTATTCATCCACAGCGTAACGCTCGGCACTGGGATAGTGAATCTACGCTCCAACAACAACAACAATAAGAATAATGTAATCGACAAAACCACCACCACCAACAACAACAACAACAAGAACAGGAAAAGGGACTACAGCCGGACGACACACGCTTGCCCTCGGGATAGGCGCGCGCTAGTGATGACCGCTGGACCCGCGGGACTCGGCGTTGTCGGGTCGACTTTTCGTTGAGGCCATTTCCTTCCTGCCCGCAGCGAGGCGAGGGCCAGTCGAACGGCTGCGCGACGTGCGCGCATTTGCCTTGCCTCCAGCGCGTCCGGCGTCTCCGGGAGTCGCTTTCGTCGCTCTGTCTCTGTCGCGCTCGCGGGCGCCCCTTGTGGCCGCAAGAGAGACACAGCGACGAAAACGACGCTAGGCATCATTCTGCAGGATAGCTCTTGACACGGCCGTGGCCCCGGCTGCCCCGGCTGCCCCGGCCCCGTTATGATGGCCCTTGCATTCCAGCCCGTGTGACGGCAGCCCTCCTGACAGGCCCTTGGACAAGTCCCTGGACAAGTCCCCGGAGGAGCCCGGCCGGAGAGCCCCGCGGAAAAGGCGGGGAGATAAATAATACGAAGCTTCGGTCACTTGTCGCCGACTTGTCTCTGGCAGCCAGTCAGTCTGTGGGCAGTCGGTGACGCCCGACATGCATCAGCCGGGTGATATAATGACGGGCTAGCCGCACTCCGCGCGCACGGCGACGCCTTGTGAGTGACAGCGCGGTGACACGCACAGCCCGGCACAGCCTCGGGCCACTCCGACACCTCGGGTAGTTGCCGTGCTTCGCGAGTCCTCTGCAGCCGACCACAGACTCTCACAGTGATTACCAGACAGAGTGTTCGCATGTTCAATCACTCCTCTGTTGTTCATCTCTCCAAATATTTCTCCATTTTCTCATGTCTTGACCTCCTTGGCCGTCCGGGGCGTTTGGACGCCAAGGAGTGCTCCGTGTTTTCCAGTGTGCGAAATCTGACGCGATCGGCCCCCCTGACTCCCCCGCGCGGCGACTTGCAGCGCCGAGTGAAAACAACACACCGTTGGACCGCGTGGCTACCACGTGGTGGCGCCGCGGTGGGGGACCTGCCCGCCCCGCCCCGCCCCGCCCCGCCCCGCCCCGCCCCGCCCCGTCGTACGCCCCCCGCGGTAGGAGGAGCCAAGGCCGAGGCTGCGCCGGGCTGCACCGGGCTGCGCGGCTAGGGGGCCGCTAGCCGCTCGCGAGCCAGTGGACCCGGTTCTCAACGCCACAAAGGTACCGGTTTTGCTACGCGAACGGCGGCGAGGTCCAGGACGGGCGGGGGGGCGCCGGGGAGGCTCGCGAGCGGCACGCGGGGGTCAGGGCGGGGAAGGGCGCGGCGGCCCCACCGCACCCCGCTCCGCCCCGCTCCGTCCTGCCCCACCTCGCCCCACCCCGCCGCGCCCCGCTCCATTCAAAATGGAGGCCTCCTATATGGAGATAAAAACAGCGGCGGGTCACATGTCCAGACAAGCATTTGCTCTACTGACCAGACGGAGTGGGGGAAGGCCGACGCGCGCGGGGCACGGTGGGGCACGGCGTCCAGACAGGGCTTGGCGAAAAATTACAAAAAAGCAGGCTGCCTGCATCGGCTCGGCTTCACTCCGACACCGACGTTCGCGGCGAGAGGTACGAGGTACAGCTCAGTGTGTAGTGTGACCATGGTGCGCCGCGTCAGTGCAATGCTCCTTCTGGTGTGCTTCGCGGCCCTCGCGGCCGCCTCCCCGGTGGCCGTGCCGGAGGCTTCTCCGGTGGCGGTGGCGTCGCCGGTCGCCGCCCCCGTGCCCGTGGCCGACCCTCTGCCCGTGGCCGACCCCCAGCCCGTGGCCGACCCCCAGCCCATCGCCAACCCCGAGCCCCTGCCCATCATCGCCGCCGCCGCGCCCGCCGTGCCCGTGGAGGCCGTCAAGCAGGAGCTGGAGGAGGTGGCTAAGGTGCAGGAGGTGCCGGAAGCCGTCAAGCCCCAGGCCCGCTCCCTGCTGGACGACGAGATCTACAACAACAACGACGTCACTAAGGCTGGAGGCAGGCAGCCCGTGGCCGACACCACCACCGGCGAGGAGGCTCTGCTGAGGAAGCTCAACACCCGCTGCGCGCAGAAGGACGCCTCGTCCTGCGTGCTGCTAAAGATGGTCACCTACTTCAACCGCCTGCTCAAGAAGTCCTCCATCGCCATCGGTGAGACCGTCGAGATCGAACGCACTTCCGCCGTGACCGTCTCCGCCTCGGAGGAGGAGTCCAGCCGCGCGCTGGAGGGCGACAGTGACGAGGACAAGCTCACCTCCCTCATGACCGACAAGCTCTTCAACTTCGTGCGCTCCCGCTCCATGAGGCTCAAGCTCCTCCCCGGCGCTGACCTGCTCGTCACCCCCAACTCCGACAAGACCGGTGCCCTCAACCTGGGCATGAGCCTGCAGACCTCCAAGGACGAGGGTGAGTACAGTGCGCATCCTCTTTGAGAAGTCGTTGGCAAGCCACTAGCAGACGTTGACGGCGTTCAAGTAGTGATTCATGGCCGACGGGGCACTGCCATTCAAACCTTCCCGCCAAAAATAACTTCCCTTTGTTTGTGAGCACCGCCCGCCGCTTGTTGGGTAACATCTCCAGGCGAGGCGGAGCTCTCTCATCGTAAAACGTCACTTTGTTTAATCTCCTCTACTGCCACTCCGCCGCCCTCGCGTGGAGTTTGCAGAGTAGCCGCCTCGAGTTGGGAGAGCAGAGAGTTAGTGCAGAGTACTTTTGGCGCCGTGTGTACGGGAAGTAGGTGGAGGCCCTCGGCCAGGCCGGTCAGTGCAGTGTGCAGCTCGATCTAGATCCAGTTGGAGGAGGTGGCGGCGCGGGGGCGGGGGAGGGGGAGGCGGACACGGAGAAAGGCTGAGATGCAACGCGCACGCTAGCACGAGAAGGAACTCCTTCGTGAGGGTGCGAGGGAACGGCTGAAATAACACACGCGGTCATCTCTGTTCCTGTTGTGATTGGATTCTGCAAGGGACACGCAAGACAGAGACGAGGGATTGTCGTGTCTTGTAGAGAAAGGGGGTGGGGGAAGCTAGGACCATGTACCATTTGCTTTGACCTACACAATGTAAGTGGCAGCGTCTAAATGAGTGCCCCCTGCGCAGGCCGAGGCAACAAGGCCCAGAAGGCCATCGTCCCCGCCCTGATCGCCGCCGGCGCCGTCAAGCTGGGCATGCTCGGCATCCTGGCCATGAAGGGTCTGGTCCTGCTGGTGGGCAAGGCCCTCATCCTCAGCAAGATCGCCTTCCTGGTGGCCGTCGTCATCGGCCTCAAGAAGCTCTTCTCGCAGCAGAAGCACGTGACCTACGAGGTGGTGGCCCAGCCCCACCACGGCCACTCCAGCGGCCACCACGACAGCGGCCACGACTCGTACTCGTCCGGCTGGGGCCGCGCGGCGCGCGCCCTGGGCGACCTGCCGCCGCCCCACGGCGACCCGCAGCAGCTGGCGTACCGCGCCCACCACTGATCCACCGCCCAGCCAGCAGGTAAGGTCCAGCCAGCGACCCGGTAGCACGTCGGGTCATCCTCCCCGGCTCTCGGCCAGGCGAAGCGCGCGGAGCGCTGGCCCCTCGGCTGGCCCCGTGGCCCAAATATGACGGGTGGCCGGACTGGTTTGGCATTCCAGTCGCCGAGCGATTCGTCGCTCTGTCTCTCTCGCTCGCCAACGGGCCGCTCCATCAGTGTGACAGAGACAGAGCGGCGGAGCGAGTCCTCGGAATCCGCCTGCAGTCCGCGCGGCCCGCGCGCTGCGCGCCCACCTGCCCGTCGTCCCGGTCGTCCTGGTCGTCCCGAGCCGGTTCCGCCCCGCCCAGCAGCCTCAGCCTCGGCCCTACCCTTGGCGGCAATCATCGTAGCGGTGCGCGCCCAAAGCGCCCAGCGTCCCTGCCGCCCTGCGAACAAAAACAAAAACAAAACCGAACAGCAAGTCCGGCCGGCGGGGTGGGACGAGGCGCCGCTTGTTGTTGTTGTTGAGTGTCAGGAGGTCGAGGTGGGGCAGTGGGCCGAAAGAAAAGACATGGCCATGGTCAGGGTCGGGCTGACCTTGCTCATTACGCCTCTTTCTCCACGTCGGCTTAGTGGTCACGTGTGCCGCGGGGCGGGGCGGGGCGCTGCAGCGGATTGCGGAGAGGCGCCGCGATTCGATTCCGCAGCTCCGCCGGCCGCGTCGTCACTGTGTCTCTGTCGCACTCATGGCGCCCCGTGGCGGAGCGAGCGAGACCGAGCGACGCGCGCGGCGCCATTACTGCCGCGGCATAAAAAAAGAAAGGGGATTATCAATCGGCGGTGCAGTCGGCTCGGAGTAATCCGGCGGGGAAAATAAAAAACGAAGATCGCGCGCGTCACCCTGCGTAACGAAGCGGCGAAGCAGCGACGCACCAATCATGGCGGCCGCCCGCTGCGCGCTGCGCCGCGAGCACGGCGCCGGACGGAGTCGGCCGAAGCACATGTTCGCTAACGAGAAGCACGCTCACGTGCGAATCTCTGCGCCGCCCGACTTTCATTGGGACTTTCGTTCGGCCGGGCAATCTCGGGTCGCTGATTCGAAGGGCGCGCCGGACGCCGCGCTTGTTACGCTAGAGAAAGCCGTCATCATCGCCACACTGTCATCGCGAGACGACTTCAATCCGGGCGGCACTCCGGGGCGACGGGTCGTGTGCGTGTGTGCGTGACGACCTGGAATCACTGGCGTGCGACAGAGCACACGAGTAGCATCGCGCAGTCTGGGAGTTGAACCTGCGAGACGATCTCCGGCGAGCACCGTACTAACAGAAGATCGCGCAGTACCCGACTGCGTCGGGAGATCGCTCGCGCGGATTTTTCCTTCATCAAAAGTAAAGTTGCTGGGAAAAGGGGAGGGAGGAGGAAAATTGGTTGCACCTGAGGAGGAAGGAAGCGACGTTTGCCGGGAGCGCTATCGCAGCGAACGGCCGACTGGGTCCTCTCCTCGCGCGCCGCTGCACTGTGCTGCAGCCCGCCCCGCCCTGCTCCAGAAAGGCAGCAGTTTGCACGGTCAGTTGAGCCGACGGCGGCGCGGCGGCGGGGGCCGTGGAGGTACACTCGTAGGAAGTCCGGACGCCGCCACTTCCCTGCGCGCAAAAAGAAAGAAACGATATCGGGGTTAACGGCTTGGATGGCGCGGCCACGGAGCGGCCACGGCGCAGCCCTGCACGCCGATCGCCCTATTACACATCACTCCGGGTACCGCTGCCGTTTACGACCGGGCCACCGTGTGTGTGTGTGCGCGCGCCAGTGTGTGCGCAGTGTTGGGCCGGCCGGCGGCATTCGCTGACACGGCGGCCCGGCGGTTCGGCCGGGCTCCTCCTCGGCGGGCTTTCGCCGCCAAACGCACGCGCGCGTCCGACGACGCCGTCCTCTTAATCGAAACTCAATTTGTATAATTCATGAGGATCGAGGACGGCCTGGCCGACGGGCCGACCGGTCCAGAGCGGCTTTCTCCACGTCGGGCTGCGCCGCGACGCGGACTTGGACGCGGACTTGGACGCGGACTCGGACGCGCTCTCCGAGGACCATTTCGCGCCGACGGGCCGACGAGCGCCCTGTGCATCGCGGGGCCGCCTGACTGAGGCGCTCCGGCGAGCTCCAGCCGAAGTGGGGTAGTTATACTACTTGGAGCGCAGGTGGCGCGGGGACTCGATGGGGCACCACGACGACGACGTCGACGGGCTTCCGGCGGAGCGGACGGGGGCGGCCGAGGGGGCGGTCGAGGGGGCGGCCGGGCGCATTTCCTGTTTCCTAGAGGTCCGGCTACCTCTCTCGTTTGTTTGTGCGGATGGAGCGCAAGAGAACAAAGTTGGCTGCTGCTTTTCATAATCTGACGTTGCGCCGAAATGCGAAACACGAGCGGAAAGTTGGCTGCTGCTCTCGCCGCCGTCAATACATCGTTCGATACCTCGGCCGATAGTCCACAACAAACAAAGGCGCAGCCCGATTTGACCGGTGGCACGGAGCGCTTATCAAGGCTTCGGATAATTAATTAAGCTGCTGCTGGAAATGGAGATGGCGGTGTGTCCGTCCCCTCCCCTCCCCCTGCCGTGTTCCATGTCCCCTGGCCGTTAGGGCTAATATGCGGGCGAGGCAGCACATGTAGATAGTGCCATCGGACGGACGGACGGGCAGGCAGACAGACAGGCGGGCGGGAACGGGTCCGAAGAAGGTGCGATGCAGTTTACGACGGTGCAGGCCGTGCAGGCCGTGCAGGCCGCTGCAGCCGCAGGTGCCACACTCTGGCACACATTCGGCCTGCTTTCGGTTTTGTTCGGCCGCCACTGCACTGTGAAGGGCCGGCCGGCCGTGTGTTTGTTTTCACTGGTTCCGGCTCACTGGCGACCTGCCTTGGCGCGCCGTGCCGTGCCACTGCGCTGCGGTCAGTCCGATCGCCTTCCAGTGTCGGCACGCGGTGGCGCGAGGCGCGGCGTGGAGAGGCGTGGCGGGCCGGCGAGCTCCTGCAGCAGCGCTGAGGTCAAGTTCAGTGCCACTGCCACTGTGGCGGGCTGCCGCGGAGCCGCGGCCAACAACTCCCAGGCACGCGATGCCACGGCGCAGCCGTGAGATGTTGCGCTGTTGTTGTTGCTGCATATTTTTTTCCCGGAGTCACTCGCTGCGGGGTCGGCGTGCCCGGGGAGTCATTGCCGCCAGAGGGGCTTCGTTTTCACTTGGCGGGGCGTGGCGACGCGGCTGTTTCCATTCCAATGGGGGTGGGCGACCGCCAGCGGCACCAGCGGCCGTTTAGAGGCCTTTGGCGTGGCGCCGCGGCGGCCTTGGGGAGGTTCTAGCCGGGCCAGGCCGGGCCCGCCCGGGGGAGGCTTATTGTTGCTGAATTGGGTAAACGTCGGCCTATTATGATGTCCGCCCAAGCCCAAGCAGCGGGACGCAGAGCGGGACGCAGACGCAAGGGGCTTCCCGCTATCGGCGAACCGGGAACGGAACAGGGGTGGCCGTCGACGGCCTGCCGATCGGACACGAATCCCCACGCCCGGCCCGCCACGGCCGCCTCATCACAGATATCACTCCGCCCCCGGCGGTGGCAGGCTGGCGCCGAACAGTGCGCTGTCTCGCTCGCACCCTTTGGTGGCTCGCGGCTCGCAACCCACGGGGGCGACAGAGACCGAGGAGCACGCTTCGGAGTCCACCTGCGGCGTCCCAATTTCGCATCCCCCGCTCGTGACGCCGTGCCGTGGCCGTGCCTTGCCGCGCCCGCGGGGACGACGCAGCGCACGCCGCGCAGGTGGCCGAGTGAGGCACTGGGCGGCGGGGCACGTGCAGGATGCAGGACTTGGTGTGCAGCGGGGCGGCGCCAGGCTGGCCAGCGTCGCAGCGTCGCCGAGTACGGCAGCGACGGGTCGATGCAAAGCGAAACCGAGCGAAGGGCTTTCTTCCTTTGCCGCTCGCCTCCTGCATCATAATTAAGACAACACGCGCGCGCTCACACACACATACACACACACACACAAACGCACACACAAACAGCTGCCGCTGTCAGTTCCCCGCGGATAAGCGGCTTTGAGAACGGGGACGGTGTTCCTCCCTTTCCCTACGCGGCAGGCTTCCCGGCAGGCTTCGCGGCAGGCTTCCCGGCAGGCTTCCCGGCAGGCTTGCCGCCAAGTGCGGGTGAATCTCGAATGCGCTCGGGGAACTTCACCGAGGCGCTCTTTCTCTCGTGCGAAAATTACCTGCGCACATGCGGCGCGGCCGGGCATGGCAGCTGACAGTGCGTATGATGGAGCGTTAGGGGGGCTTGCCGGCGTGCCGGGCGCCGGGCTGGCCGCTAGGGACAGGGCGGCGAGGCTGATAAGCGCTTTGGATGGCGGCCAGGCGCGCGTCCAGACGGTCCGGCCGACGGCTTGGCCTACGGCTTGGCGTCGGCGGCGGGTCCGGGAGGCGCACTGTAGGCGTCGTCACCGTCACTCCACTGCGACGCACATGCTCCTGCAGCAATTAGGGGGAGGAGGCGCGCGACGGAGAAAGTGGACAGCGTTTTCCGCTCGCCGCGACGCCGCGACGCCGCTCAGGCCATGTAGTGGCAGACGATGCAGGCCGCCCGGAAACAGAGACTGCAGCGCGGCTGCGCGGCCCCGCCCCCGGCCTCGGCCCTGGCGCCTCGAACACCGCCCTCTGGGCCCTTTGCCTCATCAGGGCCTTCCGCCGGAACACGTCGTTAGGCCGGCCGGCCGGCAGGGCGATACAACGTGCACTTTCTCGGCGCCGTCACCGAGGCCGTCACCGAGGCCGCCACCGAGGCCGCCGCCGAGGCCGTCACCGAGGTGGTCACCCAGGCCATCACCGAGGCCGTCACCGAGGCCCCACCGAGGCCCTGCCGTCCTGCCCGCCGCATCGACGCGCGCTTTCACATCATCATCACCGTCGTGACCGCGGCGCCGCGGTGCGCGGCGGCGAGATGCTGATGCTCGGCGTGATGCGCCTGGCACGATCGACGGCGCGCACAATGCCTCCGGGGGTGGCCACCGCGCCGCCGCGGGCACGCCGTCAACGACGCGCCGCGACAAAGGGAGTCCCCGCCGTGGCGCCGCCTCATGCATACATGTATGGTGGCCAGTCCATTACACAGTTGTTACTACCTGCCGCGCGCCGCCGCGGGGCTGGCCGGCCGGGCGGTGGCCGATCACGGCGCCGATGCGCTCCGCGACGATCTTATCGACGGCCACTTCGAACGCGGCGCAGCGACGCAGCGGGAGCTCCTGAAGCACACGCCTGCCGTCAAACTCATTATGACCGCCGCTTGTCCTCAGCCACCTGCGAGCCAACTAATAACAACAATAACAAAAATTAAAACAAAACTGACGGCGCCCCGCCCCCTAGCGCCCTGGCAGAGGCTCCCAATGCAAATGAAAAAGAGATAACAGGCAACAACAGGCCGGCGGGGGCGTCGCCGTGTACACTGCAGAGTGCGGCGTGGGACCCAATCTGACGCCCCGCGTTTCAAAGAAACTGGAGTATACAACGGCAGGCGCTGCATATAGTGCGTTCACGCGTTCTTCGTTTGTGCGGCGACGCCTCAGGCCCCTCGGGCCCCCAGGGCGCGCTCCCACGCCCGCTGGGGTCACGCACCACGCAGCCACGCGGCCGCGCGGCCACGCGCTGCGCTCCTGTTTATTTCTCATCCATTTGCATGGCCTTCGTTACCGCGCTAAGCCGATGGAGCCAAGTTGAGGAGCAGCGGGCCAACTGCCGCTTCACACGCCCCGGCCACGCCCCGGCGTAGCACACGCTGTCGCGGAGCGTGGCGCGCGCGGAAGAGTTTACCGCGCTGCGCGACCGCTTTGAAGCGCCGAGCCGCTCGCGCCGGCACCGAATAGTCGGAGGAAATTGCCGCAAACGAGAATTCAGGAAATGGAAGACAGTCCAACTGTCTCCTGCAACTGCATTGGCGCTTTTTGTTGTATTCCCAGTTCACATTGTGGTAGCGGCCATTCGCAATAGTAGGACATTGCCGCGGTGGAGTTGATTTTTGGCAGCCCGTCTTAGGCATCGCAGTGCTCAGCAACTGCTTGAGTCGCTGGAATCTTTCTCGAGTTCTGCCAGTTCGGCGCCCTTCCCCGGGCCGTGTGGCGTACACCGCGAGTCACACCACCTCACACGGGCGCGCCGCGGGCGCTTCGTCGCCAGAGCAACGCGAGGGCCCTCTCGGACAGGAAATTAAAAGCCCGCCATCAGGCCTATTCCGACGAGCTGTGGCGTCGCTCTGTCTTGGAGTAATACAGTGGGGAGTCCTAACTGGCGCGGCGGTGGGCCGAGCTGTCCTGACGAATGCTAGAGAGAGAAAACCACCCGGTCGGAAATGCACCCCATGAAACCGACCGAATTCATCGATGGTGATTACATCCCGTCCATCTTCTTCGCCTTCTAAATCCATTTTTCAAAACCAGAACCTTCTAAGTTGCCCCAGTCAGGAGCTATATGGTGGCAAAGTTCGGAAACTATCTCTTTCTCTCTCTACGATTCGCCGGACACCTAGTGCCACGCACAGAAACGCCCTGAACTCCGGAACGGTATGGGTTAGCTCCAATCTGTTTGCATCCCGTAAATCCTCACTCTTTTTGTGACAAGATGAGCTATTGGAAAAGTCTCTAAGTTGAAAATCAAGCCTTCAGGGCGTTGGCAAACAGAAAGGTGCAGCTCTAGTTAGGACTCCCTATCAGTATTACTCCAAGGCTCTGTCTCTGTCCCGCTCGTGGGGCGTCGGGTAGGCGTGTGAGGGTGCGGAGAGGGTGCGAGAGAGACGATATTCCGCCATCCCCGTGCCCGTTCCCTCCCATTGATTTTAACCCCGTGTCGTTGTTTTTCTGTCCGCAGGAGTGGCGCCACTGTAGCGCCGCTGCTTCGCTGTCCGGGACTACACTCGTCATCGCGGCGCTGTGCCGGCTCGTCGCGCAGACCCAGTCGCACGGCCGCCGCCCAGTCCACGCCCCGCCGCCCCCGGGCAAGCCCTCGGGCCTCCCGGGACGGCGGGCACCTATTTATTTTAACTTATTTAAAAACGCTATTAATTTATTCGGATGAGAACGGACGCCGCCTAAGTCCGTCGAGAAAGGCGCCGTCCGTGTAGCATGTAGTACTGAGTAAAAGTACAAACCTGAATGAGAAGTACTGCACAGGTTTCACTGTGCCAAATTAAGTTATTTTGTTTGTCTCTCTCCCGCTGTGTGGAGTGGCCCTTTACTGAGAGGACGACTACCGCTGACCTGAGCTGTTTACCGACTTCTTGTGGACGAGGACCGGACAACCAATACTGTGATAAACCCAAACGTTGATGACAATACGACGACGTTACTTTACGAAGATACACACTGTACTCGACGTCCCACGGTACTGTGCAGTGTTAGTGCCAATCTTGTAAATAAAACCTCAACACGACGCAAAGACGCATCCTGCAACACTGTTCAGAAACGACACTGTGCCTTGTAAATAAACCGATCTTTTTGTGAGACAGTGACACACGTTTTGCTTTATTCCTTGCGTACGCTTCCACCCCGTTGAGGAATCCTTGCTTTGACCCAGTCAGACTGACAGTATCCTTCCTCCGAGCCCGGAGCCAAATGATAACAGCACTCGAACGACAATGTGGATGCCCACTCACTTTCCTGTCGTAAAACAAAAGTCTCCCCAATAAAGCCCTCCACCCCCAACCGATTCCAGCGAGTCGTTCGTCGCTCCGTCTCTCTCGCACCCGTGCGACTGAGTCGGAGCGATGTTGGCGGCGTCCATGCCAGATGCCGGTGACGTGGACGTGCCGCGTCCGAGTTCCGAAATCGACGGCTGGTCGCGAAGTCGGGGCGGGGGCGGAGCGCGAGCCACCCGCTGTCTCGTGGAAAAAAGTTTTCCATTATTTGGCGAGTACTTCGGCACTGGCGAAGCTAGAAGTTAGCGGCACCCGCGGTGTGGACGGACGAAAGCTTGGGCGATGCGGAACTCACTTTCCCGGCCAATGTTTACTACTTTTTTTCGAACCGCCGTCCTCTCGGCGGCATATCGAGGCAGCCCCGTTCGCTATACATTGTTTTGATCACGGCAAACAGGCACTCTGACGGGCTTGAGTTGGGATGGACACCGTGTGTGCGTATACACACACACACACCGCAAAGGGGTGAAATCAATCACACTCCCTCTCTCCCTATCGTGTAGGTTGTCAGCTCTTGTTGTTTTTTGTCTAACGAGTGTGCCTTCGGCCTCACACAAACAAAGTGACCTACACCGAAAAAATGCTCATACTACAAGCCCCCCCCCCCCCTCGCAAAAAGACGGAGGAAAACTAGTTTGAGTTGTCAAGGCTAATGCTGTTCTTTTGAACTCACTATCTTAGTGAGTGATTTCAGTTCTTCTTTTCACTAAAACTTCTCTTGTTGTGAAAAATTGCGTTTTTACTCTGTGCGCGAATGGCGCTTAAAATAACCGTGAAAGCGTAGCAAGGTGCTCTGTGACACCCTAAAAACCATCCCTTGGCATAGAGTTAAGTCTTCGTGTTGCTGTCGGTCCTTCGGGCCCTGCAGGCCCTCCAGGGAGCGGGCCGGTGGCTCGGCGGACGGGGTGCGCCGGCGGGCAGGCAGCACGCTTCGCAGTGAGGCAGGCTGGGTGGCCGGCCCGCACGGCGCACGGCGCGTGGAGCGAGGCGCGGCCGACGCGCTGCAGCGCCGTCTCTCCGCCTGCGGCACTGCACTGGAAGAACCACACGAGGAAAATGAATCATGTGCCGCCTCGACTGCCGTTTCTTCTGCTGCCCTTCTGGTTCGGCTCCTTTTCCCGACGAGGAAGCCAGAGCGATCTCGGCCGAGAATTTTCGGGGGAATGTCGATGATGACCCCCAGGCCCCGGGGGTGGGCGAGGGTGGGCGAGGGGGAGGCAGATAGACGGGTAGATATTGGGCGGGCAGCCAGCCAGGCCAGCCGGGCAGCAGGACGGGCCGCCACTGTACCGTATTCAAAATGTGGCCGCATTCCGATCGGAGACCCGCAGCGCTGCTGCTGCTGCAGACTGAGTCGTTTCAGTCTCTCGGTCTCTCTCCCACTCGCGGGCGCTTTCTATAGGTGCGAGAGAGACAGAGAGACGAAAACGACTCTCGGAATCAGTCTCCTGCTGGTGCTGATGGCGTGGGGGGCGGCGGCGCCCCCAGCAGGGAAGGCCGCGCCGAAAACCGGTGGCCTACAGTGCAGGCGAATGGGAGCAAGCAGCGGAGAGCGGTCCAGACAACAACACCGCGCTGCGTCGTCGAAACCACGGCAGAACGACCCGAGAAGACAGCACTCCATCGGCGCTACAAAATGCACGCAATAGACTTCTTTATTCCAACATTTTTGCAAAATAAATTACAAACTGTTTTTGGGGGTGTTCTTGACTGGCATGCTGCACTGACAGTGCACCCGCGCTGGCCCTGACCCTGGGCAACACCGCGGCGCCTCGGCGTGCGCGAGGCGTACGCGAAGCAAGGCAGGGCGTGCGTCACGCTTTAGGCACGCAAGCCCCGTGTCATCGCGCGGTAGTTGACGCCGTCGCGGTCCGCGAAAGGGGGCTCCCGCCACTCACTCCGAGAGTCGCCTTCGTCGCTCTGTCTCTCTCGCGCTCTGGCCGCGTGCCGTATGGGTGCGAGAGAGACAGGGAGGCTGTCGACGACAGTCACGTCATTGAGGCCTCGCCCGGCCGCGCCCGCTACATGACTAACTAGTCGGCGTCTTGCTTTCATCCTCGAAGCCCCGCGCGTGCGCACGCGCGTGCCCCGCCTACCGCGTCGCACGGCCAGAAACAAAGCGGACAAACAGGACAGACGTTAGTGTAACACCACCGCCGCGACCTATCGGCACTCCGTGCATCAGGCCGCCCACATTGTCGCCGCGCTCGAAGTGACTCGCGGTATCTTTCGCTCGCGGCTGATAGCGCACAGTGCCTTCGGTCCTCCCTGCCGTCGACGCGGACCCACCGCAGCGGGCCGGAACTTTTTCTTTTTCTTTCTTTCTTTTCTTTTGCAGATAGCCATTGCGGGACTGCATTAGAGCCGCATGTGCACCGACGCCGTGCTGAGTGCCGCGCCGTGATATTGAGCCGCCCTCCGCGGGCGGGGCGGGGCGGGGCGTCGAAAGCGGCCGGGGGGCGCAACCGAGAGCACCGAGAGTGTGCACGTGCGAGCAATATAACGCGCACTGGCTGCATTGCCGAAGAACGCGAAAGAAAAAGGAGGCGGCGGCGCGACCTCATCATCGCACTCTTAAAACCTTACGAAGTATTTTGAGCATACATATAACAAACTAAAATACTTTGTTATGCGAAGAAATAGTTCGTAAATTACGAAGTATTTTCTTTGTAAGCTTACGTATGCTCAAAATACTTTGTTATACAAACTACTTTTCTTTGTAAGGCCCAAAATAGTTTGTAAGGTTTTCTCAGTGCGAGCAGTGCGGCGGGCGTGGCGGCAAGCTCGCGGAGGTGGCGAAGCAGTGCATGGTTGTGCCTCGGACGCACTGAACGCTGATGGACTTTTTGCCGATAAGCATGGACGTCTTTCTGCACTCTTCATAAATTAAGTGCAACTTTAAGCACAATTTGGAGAAGTTTTCTCCCTAATTTATGTTTGTAAATGCACGAATATGTCCATAGTTATGGACAAAGTCAACGAAGACGTGGACACGGATTCCGGCCGTCACGTGGCCGGAGAAAGGCGATACAGTGGCGCGTGGGTCCGCGACGTCCTGCAGTGGCGTGGCCGGCGAGGCTGGAGGGCTGGCCGCTGGAGGGGATGGGCGAGTGAATAAAGACGGGCCCGCCATCTGCACAGCGCGCACAGCGGCGCGGGCCGCCGGGCCGACAGGGTGGCGGGGCGACGCGGACGGGTCCGACCCGACGGGACCGAGCACGGAGTAACGCGGTGGCTGCGCCGGGATCACCGCGAAAACGCCCACACTGTGGCGGGAAAATGATCAGCCGGATCCAAAGTGCCGACAAACAGCACGCCCGCTGCTGCTCTGGAGACCGCGCAGATTCTGGAGAGGTGCGCGCTGACGAACACGGACAAACGCGTCCCGACGGAGCGTGGCCCGCTAGAAAATTGATAACGTATTTTACCTCGTCGTAGCAACGGGAAAGGATGGAAAAGGCCGGGGGGGGGGCTAAGCCAGACTTGAAGGACGTCGACAAGGAGTTTCTCGGGCGAAAAGCTGGCAGATTCAAAAATAACAACGGTGAGGGCAGGGGGCATTTGCGGGTCTCTCTCTCTCCCCCTTTCTCTCTCTCTCTCTCTCTCTCTCTCTCTCTCTCTCTCTCTCTCTCCTCTCTCTCCTCTCCCTCCCTCTCGCTCTCGCTGGACGCGATGAGGGGGATACCATTCGATAATGGGCGGGGAATAGGGAGAAAACGGAGCAGTGACACTCGATGGCGCATGGCCGCGTGGCCGCGCGGCTTGGAGTGAACGGGGTGGACGGACGGACGGCATTTCAAATCCCCCACACGGGAAAGCGGCCGAGTGCCCCGCAGTGAGTGCCCCGCAGTGCTCGCGCCGCCTGCGCCGTGCTCCGCGCGCCTGGTGTGTCAGCGACTGCGTCCGGAGCGTTTTCTCCTTGTAGCAGTAGCAGCTCTCATTATTGACCGTGCGAGAGAAAGATCGGGGGAAAGAGAGACTGAGATAGAGAAAGAGAGAGAGAGGGGGGGGATAGTGGCCGCCGCCGCCCAACCGCTGCCCGGATGACTGGCTACCTCAAGAGCGCCGGGCTTGCACGCGAGGCGACGCGAGGTGAAGGGGAAAATCATTCCGGAATAGCATTTCGTTTCGGATCCGGCGACCTGGACCGCTTTCCCGGGGCCTGTTATGGCCACCTGAAAAATACGATCTCGAGGCGTGTGTGTGTGTGTGAGTGTGAGTGCGAGCGCGACACGAAGCAGCGCTCTTGGGGGTCAGGTCACTTTTGGCAGCAGGAGAAAAATAAAGCAGAACTGATTAGAATACGGATGTGGCCGGCGCCACCCGGTCCTGCCGGCCGGACGGGCTTTCGAGTCCGTGTCGTTCAGCAGGCGGTGCCCGCCCCGCCCCGCCCCGCCACTCCAGTGGGCCGTCGCGTGCGCTTGACGGGGATGGCAGCCCTGGCGGACTCATGTTCGGGAAAATTAGAAAGTTGCAGAGGTATCAGATGTTGGAGCGAGTCCCACCACGCCGGGCCACGCCCGACACAACCCCCTCGACTGCCCGGCCGCCAGCCCCGCCAGCCCCGCCAGCCCTGTCCCAGCTGCCAGCCCCGTCTGGGCGACGAACTTTCTTTCCGATCAGCGGCCAGCGTACGCGGCTCGAATCGGCTTTCCGACCGGACCGGACCTCTCTGCAGTAATAACATATCACGGCAGCCTCACCAGCGCGCCGGCCTCGCCCTGATGAAGTAGCGCGGGGGCGGGGACGCGACGCCCCACACTGGAAAAAAAAAAGTTTTACGAGCTGTCAAAACGCGATTGGAAGCGCCAATT